AATGTTTTCACCCATTATTTGATTTTATCCCCTCAGCACCCCAAAGAGCTAGGTATTATCATCTTCATTTTTCCCAAGAGGATACTAAAGCACAGAGAAATTAAGTAACTTGTCAAAGGCCATACAACTTGTAAAAGGCATTGTCATGACTGAAGCCCACAGCTGTGTTACGCCAAAGCCAGTACACTACCCACAACTATCAATGGCCACGGAGAAGGAGAAGACAAGTTCCAGCTAAGCTTTACACATAATCCAAAAGAATGACATAAAACATAATAGACTCCTTGACTGTGATACAATATAGTCAAATATGTTATTTAAAATGACTAAATTCAAGAAGAATGAATGGATTTTGTAGTAAGTGTGCCTCACGATGTAAAATGGCATATTGAGACAAAAGAAAAAAGAAATGTAAGAACTGAACTGATGAGGAGGAGGTTAACTCTGGTAGAGCATTAAGGCCATACTAGAAACTTCTGCACACGGGAAATCCAGTGGGACTGTTGACAAAAACTCAGCAGAGACACAACGAGAGTTTGGATCCAGACAGTGACTGTGGTATAAAATCTGGAAAATTGACAGCAATTGTGACCCCTTTTCAGGTTGGACTAGAGCCTCTGTTGTATGATGGCTCAATGTGTCTCTTTCCTCTCAGTAATTTTACATTTTTTTCAAATATGCACTGCTTCTAGTGGAAGTAGATAGGTACTTCTTCCAATATTTTCTCATACCCTCCCCTCTTAGTTAATGAGATGGTTTACTAATTTCTGACCAATGCACATTTATCGAGTATTTGAAAGTCAATATTGGTATTACTGAGGATAGGACTGAAATATTACCTAATAAATTTTACTAGCTTACTCCAAAAACATGTTAAGAAAAAGCACCACCACCACCATCCAAAAAGTTTTAATTTCTGAGTTGTTTTGTTTTGTTGTAGACACACGCTTTTTTTTTTTTCACTTCATTTTGAAATATTGTTTTGTGATTTTTAGGAGCTAGAGAATGGATTGCCCACATTTCTTTCAAAACCAAGTATGTTAATTTTTGGTAAGGAATGACAATCCATTTGAAATATGCACTGCTTGTTTCAGAAAAAATAAGTGTAAATTTTAAAAACAGAAGAGCATATGTTGTTAACCTTAGCTGCACAAAATTGAAAAGGCAAAAAAAAAAAAATACTCTTTTTAAACTAGGCATATCTTACATTCTTAAACATATTGGAAATAGTAGTATATAATTTAATAATTATTTTTCTTTTAAGTGCGTTGTTTAGCATTCTGGGTTCTAGAGAAAAGTCCCTTAAGAGCTTATAAAACAATGGAACTTTCTTCTTCCCCATTGTAAAGAAAGCAAGGAGCTTAAAAGCATCTGATTAGCTGGCACCATATCAAAAACAAGTGCAGACCATTCATTCTCAATCCTGACTCATTCTTGTCCCTGCACTAGCCCTCCAGTGTGGGGCTATCTCCATAACCTGACATAGCTGGTGACTGTCACTTCCCCTTTCAGGTGCTGCTGCAGACCTGGCTTTAGTTGATTTATGTGCTCATTTACCAGTTACCATTCTAGTCCTCCCTTCACACTTGGCCTGTGTCCCTACTTCACACAGGAAAAGTGGGCTGTAGGACTGAATCACTATCTAATAAATTATAGCTAAGTGGACAGGAAGGCTGGATAAAACCAGTAGGAGGAAAAGCTATCTGTACTTTTTTTAAAAATTAATAACAGGGCTTTTAAATAGAAATTAATTAGTATAAATATTAATATTAATTTAATTAATTGATACTTAATTTAATAATATAAATATAAATTAATAGGACATTTTACCTGTGTATGTATATTTCCATTCTATTTACTTCATTTGAAAGCATTACAGTGGTGGTATGAATATGCAGACAGAACCAGTAACTTAATTGATTTAAATCTTGTTTCATCTCGATCATGTAAAAGATTTGAAAAACATTCTTAGTGAGTATATTATAGTGATTATATTATAAAGTTGTGAGATGACATCAAGGACATCATACATGAAGAAAGCAAAAGATCATTAAAAAGACAAGAATGAAAGAAAAGATCTAAATGCATGTAGGAAGAGACTCGAACTTTCTCTTAAACATAGAGCATCTAAAGCGAATGGAATAAATGATGAACAGAAGAGCTGAACAGAAAATTTCAAAGGGCTGCTCAAGGAGAGAAAATAAATTATAATTAAATGTGCAAAGACCTGGAGGTAGAAAACCAAAAGAGAAGAACACATTCATCATTTCTCAAGCTGAAACAACTGAAGAACAAAAATCAAGCCTTGAGTTGCAATATTGAAAGATTCTATGGGCAAAATATTGAACAACGCAGGAAAAATCAAAAGAAGATGGAAGGAATACATAAATTCACTGTACCAAAAAGAATTGGTTGATGTTCAGCCATTTCTGTCTTAGTCTGGAAACTCTGCTGAAACATGTCCACCATGGGTAGCACTGCTAGTATTTGAAATGCAGGTGGCATAGCTTCCAGCATCATAGCAACATGCAAGCCACCATAGTAGAATAAACTGACAAATGGGTGGTGGATTTACCTCATAAAACCTGTTGCTGTTGAGTCGATTCTGAATCACAGCAATTCTGTAGGACAGAGTAGAACTGCACTATAGGGTTCCCAAGGAATGGCTGGTGGATATGAACTGTCAACCTTTTTGTTAGCAGCCAAGCTCTTATCCACTGTGCCACTAGGGATCCTTGAAGGACACAGGAATCATCAAAAGAAGATGGAAGGAATACACAGAGTGACTGTACTAAAAAGAATTGGTTAACATTCAGCTATTTCAGGAGGTAGTGTATGATCATGAACTAATGGTACTGAAGGAAGAAGTCCAAGCTGCACTGAAGGCACTGGTGAAAAACAAGGCTCCAGGAATTGATGGAATACCAATTGAGAAGTTTCAACAAATGGATGCAATGCTGAAAGTGCTCACTCATCTATGTCAAGAAATTTGGAAGACAGCTACCTTGCCAACCAACTGGAAGAGATCCATATTTGTACCTACTCCAAAGGAAGGTGATCCAACAGAATGTGGAAACTGTAAAACAATATCATTAATATCACAGCCAAGTAAAATTTTACTGAAGATAATTCAAAAGCAGTTGCAGCAGTATGTAAACATAAAATTGCCAGAACATAAAAACAGATTCAAAAGAGGATGTGGAATGATGGATATCATTGCTGATGTCACATGGATCTTGGCTGTAAGCAGAAAATACCAGAAACATGTTTACATGTGTTTTATTGGCTATGCAACGGCAATCAACTGTGTAGATCATAACAAATTATGGATAACACTGCAAACAATAGGAATTCCAGAACACTTAACTGTGCTCATGTAGAACCTATACATAGTCTAAGAAGCAGTTGTTCAAACAGAACAAGACGATACTAAAGGTTTAAAATCAGGAAATGTGTGTATCAGGGTTGTATCCTTTCATCGTACTTATTCAATCCGTATGCCAAGCAAAATATCTGAGAAGCCGGAGTTTATGAAGAAGAACACGGCATCAGGATTGGAGAAAGATTCATTAACAACCTGTGATATGCAGATGACACAACTTGCTTGCTGAAAGTAAAGAGGACTTGAAGCACTTACTGATGATGTTCAAAGACTACAGCCTCAGTATGGATTACACCTCAACATGAAGAAAACTAAAGTCTTTACAACTGAACCAAGCAACAGCATGATAAATGGAGAAAATACTGAAGTTGTCGAGGATTTCATTTCACTTGGATCCACAATCAATGCTCATGGAAGCAGCAGTAAAGAAATCAGAGAACATACTGCATTGGGCAAGTCTGCTACAAAAGACTTCTTAATAGTGTTAAAAAGCAAAGATGTCACTTTGAGGATTATGGTGTGCCTGATCCAAGCCGGGGTATTTTCAATCTTCTCATAGACATGTGAAAGCTGGACAATGAACAAGGAAGACAGAAGAAGAACTGATGCCTTTGAACTGTAGTGTTGGTGAAGAATATTGAATGTACCATTGACTGCTAGAAGAATGAACAAATCTGTCTTGGAAGAAGTACAGCCAGAATGTTCCTTAGAAGTGAAGATGGCGAGATTTCATCTCACATACTTTGGACATGTTATCAGGAATGAGCAATCCCTGGAGAAGGACATTATGCTTGGTAAAGTAGAGGATCATCTAAACAGAGGAAGACCCTTAACAAGATGGATTGATACAGTGGTGGCAATGGTGGGCTCAAGCATAGCAACGATTGTGAGGATGGAGCAGGACTGGACAGTGTTTCACTCTATTGTACATAGGGTTGCTGTGAGTGGGAACAGACTCAACAGCACCTAACAATATTATAAAATATGCATTAAGATGCAGCCCGATGTTCTCTGACTGATATGCTAAAATGTCAAAGAAATCTTCCTGTCAAGATCTCAACCTTGAGGTGATATTTTGGAAGAGGGAATAATATTGGGAGTCAGTAGAATTATCTATTGGTTCGGTTCCTTACCAGTTCTCTTAATCTGAGCCAATCATTGAATTTGTATGATATCAAATTTCTTATGTGTAAAATAAGGAAGTTGGATTAGATATACTGTAAGCAACCTTCTAGGCTCAAAGTATATTCTGAATTAAACAGGGCAATATTTAAATTGACTTTTAATCTGCTAATGATGCAAATAGACTTTTTCAAAGCTGATTTACCTACAGAAGTCTAGGGTACCTCTGCTCAAAGAAACACTAAGTACAAAAGAAGAAAGACTCAACTCTTGATCTAGTCTCTAAGAGTTGAGGCAAACTATGTCAGTTGTTTAGTGGTTCTAAATTTGCTTGGATACTTTCTACCCAGTTTACTCAACTGAAGATTCTTACTGTAAAAAGCTCTGTTTAACATCCACTTATTCACAGAAATTTTGCAACTTTGCATGGCTGACTATGCCTACAGATGTCTATTGGCTGATTAAGGCCGTAGGAGCCTGGGAGAGCCAGATAGACATGTAGGCTGTCACTGTCAAGCATAGCATTTGGACATCTTTTTTGGTTGTTGGGGGAACATATTGTGGGATTTTCGTGTCCTTACCTTGAGTTTAGAAAGTAACGTAAACACGTGAGGATGTACAGACAGATATTTCTTTTGTGACTCCTGTCAGGTAAGTGACTTTTTTCAACCAGATGCTGGTTCATTTAATTTGAGGCTATTGGTAAAATTCTTTATATTGCTCCGTATGAATCTATGTGGGAATAATTAACAAGTTCTTTAAATTGTAAATATTAGAAAATATAAAAGCTTATTTGTGTAGCCAGAACTATTATCTTTTTTACAACTGACACTGTTTGGTAAACTATGGACTTTTAATAATAAGGCTTCATGCTCTCTTCTTTCCTCTGAGCAAAGAATCCCTTGTTTAGATGCAGTAAGTATACTTATTTTTTCAGGAAATGGAAGAAAAACTGGTTTTGAAAAAAGTCATTTTATAGGCTAGCTACAGTTATTAGATTGTTGGAAGAAATGATGTTTACAAACTTTTTTTAAATCAAATTGTTCTTAGGGTATTTATATACTTATTTACTTGCTCTGTGATAAAAAACTACATCAAAGTAACTAAACCTGTTGCCGCAGAGTCGATTCTAACTCATAGTGATCCTATAGGACAGAGTAGAACTGCCCCATAGGGTTTCTAAGGAGTGGCTGGTGGATTTGAACTGCTGACTTTTTGGTTAGCAGCAGAGCTCTTAACCACTGCACCATCAGGGCTCCATTAAAGCAACTGAATCTGCAGAATTAAAGCAAATATCTCTAAGAATGTAGGTGGCAAATTTCAAACTCAAATCAACTGGGCCAACATTCAGTTTTTGAAGGGTCAAAGTAGAAAATGCACAGACAGTCTTGGAGAGAGTGAATGCAGTTTTGGAAATTTACTCAAGGACTTTGTTCCTTTAGGCAGTGTGCTGTCCTCAGTGTTAGACATTCTCAAGTTCTGGTTATGGTTTAGAGCTCTGCCTGAAAGCAAGGGTGGAGAGCATGTACGCCTGGGTTGGAAAGAGAGGTACTATGGCCTAACTTTGGATGGATTTAAGGCCAGTGTCAGAGCATGAGTCCAGCTCTGTAAACTTGGGCACTTTTTAAAAAAAATCTGTTTGGGCTTCAGCCTCTACTTCTTCAGAACAAAATTTCCAGGAGACAGTCCTTTCTTGTGAGGAATAGCTGTTGGAGAAGAAAGAAGTCTATTTATTTGCTAGACGATTAGACTTGATAAAGTTCAAAACTTATTTTAATGAGCTGTCTTAAGAATTTTTACAAGTTTATACATATTTGCATGTAATGGTAAACTTGCTTATATTTTGAAATTATATATATATGCAAATACATATATATGTATATATATAGATGTAAATTTAGTTACAAGCTTATAATTTGCTTATACAGGTAAAATTTTTTTTTTTGCCCATACATCTCTTCTCTGACTTTGTTTAAAATAAAAAGCATTAAAGTGCCAGTTTTAAGAGATGTTAGACCCTTAGACCCTATTGCTGGATCTTTGTCATGCTCTTTTCACAACTTGCTATCATTTTCTGTCTCTGTAAGCCCTTTGGCTACAGGTGTTCTCCAGCAAATGCAATGTGGAAAAGTGATAAGGACCCTCTCCAAGTAGGAGTGACTTGTTGGCAGAGGGACTCTTTGACTCGGCCACTCTTGAGCACAAGATGGGATCCTCTTATGAGGGGCGCATACTATGAGCATGCTCTTTTTCCCCACATCATTCTCCATACTATTGACAGTGAATTTCTGAAAATGAAAATCTGGTTAAAACTGCTTACTGATTTTCCATTGCCTTAAGGATAAAAGTCTGGATTCCATAACATGGCACAGAACGTATGGAACTTCACTACCTCTTCAGCCTTTTCCCATTTCTGTATTCCTCTCCTCACATCTTATGCTGCAACAACGTAGATAATGGCAGCATCCCCCTACTTGCAGTAATATCTCAAATTGGAGGACATTGTTGACATCACTGCCTCTGTGCCTAAATGCTCACATAGTCTATCTGGTGAATATCTAAACTTCTTTCAGAATAAGTTAAAAGAACACCTCATCAGGTCTTTCTGCCTCTTCCTTCATTAAGTAGAATTGACCACTGCCTCCTTTGTGCCCTCATTTCCACCATCATCCTAAAATATTGGTGAGGGAATCAGCTGGTGAGCTGAGTCAAGGAACAAGGTGAATATAGCATTTATAAGAGAAGATATAACATTGTAGGCAATTTTGGAACATAAGTCTTGCCTGTACAATTTGAAGGCAGACTAGTAGCTGGCAGAAAGAGATAGATCGTGGCTTTCTGTCCTTGAGAAGACTGACCAGAGGTGTCAAAGAAGACATTTTTCAGTTGTTTGTGGATTCTCCAGGAAGCCTTGAGCATGTAGCTGAGGAGCAAACGTCACGGCTCTCTCTGAGTAATGTCTGCAGGCATCCTTACCTCCCTACTCCATCATATGTGGGCATCATTTCCTTCATGAGAATGTCTGAGGGAATGGTCAGAGATACATTCACAGAGTTTAGTATACACATGTTTATGTCAGAATTATTTATAACTCTCAGAATAGTGAAAATAACATGAAGGTTTAAAGTAAGAGATTGATAAACTATAAATAAAAGACTAAGGTACATTCATAAAATGGAATTCTATGAAGCCATTAAAAATCTTGTCATAGAAGACTATTCAACAGCATGGGCATATCCATGGTATATTAAACAGCAAAACAGGATTTAAGCACTATTGATACATATTTAAACATGATAATCCCAAATTTAGATGTAGTAGCTAGAAGTTCAAATGGCTACATACCAAAATGTTTAAAGTGTTTACCTTTGGATAGATTATAGATGATTCTTTGTGTTTTCTTCTATTCCCAGATTTCCTTCATTGAATCTATTTTACTAGTGTAATAAAAAAATCTCTTATTACTTTTAAAATAGCTCACAATGCATTTAACGAGATGTAAGAAGGACATACGAGAATACATATCTGTATTCATGTTTGTGTGCATATATTTTTATTCTAAAGAATAACCATGATCTGGAATTAGTTATATAGCTTAGTTTTCTTAGCCAGTAATCTTAGACTGGACACAGCAGCTCTTATGTTTCTATGGCAACTCTGAAGTTCTACTATTGAAAGACAGAAAAGAATTATGGATGGGGAATCTTAGAATTGACTCACCCTCTCTCAAGCTAGGGAAAAAATTTAATGGTATTCTTGTTTAATTTTTATTGGGGAAATAAGATTGTACTTAGGACATAGAGATAGGAGGCATGGGGTAGAACTTCAGTCCTGTATAATCCCCATCAACTGATGAGGATTCCACCTTACTTTAACATGAACACTTTCCCAAAATTATGTAAAATGCCATGCCAATGCAGCTTCCAGTCATCCCTTTGTAAGAATGATAACAATAATAGCTAACATGAATGTAATGCTCACTATGTGCCGAGTAGTGTATTACTGATACATATATA